CATATAGAGTAATTAAACATTACTTAACTGCCTCACACAAAATTCTTGCATTATGTTTGAAAAATCACTGGAATTGGCTTATTGATAACCTCCTGAGGAGAGCAATTTAAAAGCCCATCTGACTCATTTATAGAGGACAGTGTATAGATTATTTTATTTTAAATTCTGTGTTTTAAAAATCAACATGTATTATTGTAATCATGATAAAATGATGTTTAATATGGAAACAATAAACAAAAATGATTGACAATTCCAAAAAAAAGAAATTTGAAAAGGTCTATGCCAGGGCAGCACTTGGTTTCTTTGAATGTGGTCTACATGGAGATTCTGGGATTGCTTAGCCTGGTATGACAAATTTAGAGCCTGGTAATAGGCTAATACCTTTTGTAGAAGGGAATGTAATTGATGTTAAATAAATAGGAAAAGACAGGAAGTTAAACAAGGAAGGATATTAATCTCCATAGTAGGGAAAATTTAAGAATACATGGATAAATAAATAAATTGAGGCTTTTGATCCTAAATTGCAGGTCAAGAGCAGGAAATAAGGAGAATAATTTTATCTCAGACAGTAAAAACTTAGGCCTTGATCTAGTACAAGAACCAGGCAGAAGACAGTTAAGAACCACTGTCTACAAACATAATGATATTTGTTTAGACTGAGTTAATTCCTTTGAATTGTTTTAATTATCAAAATGTCCTTGGTTATAAGTTTGGTGGTTATGACATTAAAAATCCTCCGAAAAAGGATGAGATATTCATGACAAAACAAAATTTAAGTAATGTCTTTCTGCAACTCCAGCCACACAGAAGATACTAAACGAAAAGCTTTAAAGGAAGGAAGGTAACCACATGTAAGAAATCTGAAGAAATAGATAGTCCCATACCAGTGAAAGCAAAGAAGAGCTGTACACATACACACACACACACACACACACACACACACACACACACACACAGTGCTACCACCATCAAAAAAACAGGAACTAGCACTAGCAATCATTGGCCATTAATATCTCTAAACATCAATGAATTGAATTCCTCTAAAGAAGTCCCAGGATAACAGAGTGCATACACAGGACCTTCTTCTGTATTCTTCTGTATCCAAGTAACACAACTCAGCAACAAAGAGACGTTACCTCAGACTGAAGAGCTTAAAAAAAAATTTTTTCCAAGCAAATGGACTCAAGAAACAAGCTACAGGAGCCATTATACTATCTGATAAAATAGACTTTGAATCAAAACTAATCAAAAGAAATATGGAAGGACGTTTACTACTAATCAAAGCAATAATCCACCAAAAAAATCTCAATTCTGAGTGTCTATGCCCCAGATTCAAGGCCACCACATATTTAAAAAACAAATATTCCTAAAGATTAAACCACACATTAAACTCTACATATTAGTAGTGCGAGACTTCAGTACTCAACTCTGACCAATTGACAGGTCTTCAAGACAAAAATTAAACAGAGAAATTTTGAAATTAATAGAGGTTATGAATCAATTGGATCTACCAGATACCTAAAGAACATGTCACCCAAACAAAAAGACTATAACTTCTTCTTTTCAGTATCTCATGGAACCTTCTCCAAGACTGACTATAAACCCTATCACAAAAGCAAGCCATAACAAGACAATTGCAATAACTCCTTGTATCCTATCAGACAACCATGGATTAAAGCTGGACTTCAACCACATCAGAAAGCCCACATACTCACAGAAACTGGGTCAAGGAAGAAATAAAAAAAAGAAATTCATGACTTTCTACAGTTCAATAAAATGAGGGCACAACTTTTCAGACACAATGAAAGCAATGCTTAGAGGAACATTCATAGCAGTAAATGCCTTCAAAATTAGAGAATTCTTAATACTAACAAATAAAAAGTATATGTGAAAGTACTAGAAGTAAAAAAAAGAATATACATCTAAAGAATTAAGTGACAGGAAATAAACTCAGGACTGAAATCAATCAACTAGAAACAAAGAGATCAATGTAAAGAATCAAAACAACAACAACAAAAAAATAATAATAGCTGGTTCATTGAGAAAAATCACAGAGTCTAACCGATAGCCTAGTGGGAAAGGATGTGCCTACTTCCTGCACAGACATGAAGTACGAGGATATGATGAAACAAGAAGCAATTCCACTGTTACAAAACGAGATGCTTAGATCCTAGAACAGAAATACAAACATGAATAACTAAGGCCACATGCTTCTTCCAGAAGTTAACAGCCCTATTGTAGCAGTCCCTAAGAACAGCAATTTAGCTGAAGCATAAAACAAGACCTTAAAATTGGCAATTATGAATATGTTAAAGATTCTTTTAAAAGATATGAATAAATGACAAAATTAAAACAGCAAAAACAACACACAGTTAAGTGAAATTGCAAAGAATAATTCTAAATATGAAAGTAGAATTTAACAGAGAAATAGATTTACAAACAAAGGGTCAAACTGACTTTAAGCTCAAAATGAAAATCAACAGAATAAAGAGAAAAATTCATGTCTTGAAGACAAGATAGAAGAGATGGAAATCCCAAAGGAAATATTTATCCTAAAAAGAAAATTAAAAAGATTACAAATCAATGCACAACTTATACAGTATCCAATATATTTCTGTATGATTAGTTATCAAAAGGAGAAAATATTCTTAACAAAACACAAAAGAAAATATCTCCTAATATAAATAAAAAGATGCTTAACAGGATACAATAGTCATACAGGAAAACAATAGAGAGTTCCAGAAAAAGAACTCCCCATGATGTCTAACCACTAAAGCATAAAATTTATACATTACAGAGAGTATTTTAAAACTGAAAGGTAAAAAGACTCACTCACACATAAAGGCAGGCACATTAAAATAACACCTGACTTCTCAGTAATGACCATGACAGGCAGAGGCCCTAGAAAGATCTTGTGCAAACTCTGATACATAGCATGTTTCTCAAATACCTATTCCAGATGTATCACAAACCTAAGTCTAAACACTGAAACACTTACATGTCTAGACGAACTGATAGGCAATGTCCTATAATAGAGGTGAGTGAAAGGACTTTCTGAATATGACTCCATTTGTACAGTATTTAAGTCCAATACTTGTCATGAGGAGTTTCTAAAACCTAAAAGTCTTTTGCACCGCCCAGGAAACAATCAGTGGACGAATACCAAGGGAGGTAGATCTTTTTTAGTGATACATGTGAGAAAAGATTAATATCCAAAATACAAAAATAACTCAGAAAGCACAGAATAAACCATACAGAAATATGTCCAATTAAAAAAAAAGTCCAGGATCTGTACAGAGAGAGCACACAGAAGAAAAAAAAGAAAGGATTTTTGTCAAGTCTTATTGCATCTTGTTATGCTGTGTTTAGATGATACTTCTGAGATTCCTGTTCTTTTTTGAAGGATAATGAAAAAGCAGTGGATCTGGGGAAAGGGGAGGTGGAGGCTGAACTGGAGGAGTGGAGGGGTAAGAGGTTCTTCTTGAATTGTATTAAATGAAAGAAGATTAATAAAAAGAAAAGAGATAAAAGAAGAACATGGCTAACAAATTTCTCAAACAAACCTTGAACCCTAGCAATTAGAAAGATGTATATCAAAACAACTTTTGTGATTTCATGTTTCTTTCTCAACATTGCGAAGATTACCAACTACCACCAATGCCAAAAGAACAGCAAAACCCTGACAACAAATTCTGGAGAAAAGGGAAACCTCATGAGACTTTTATAATATTGCAAACTGGTGCAGCCACCATGGAAATCAATACAGAGAATTCTCAATATGTCTAAAATAATTCTACTTCATGATGGAGCAGTACCATGCCTTGACATAGGTCGAAACGGTTGACATCTTATCCCATATACCCTTGCTCATCTATGTCCATTGCTGCTCTTTTCACAACAGAGAGCGAATGCAAACAACAGGAATGTCCTTTCAAATGATGAGTGGATCATGAAAATGCCTGACATATGCAATATGGAATACCACTCAACTATAAAGAAAAGTGAAATCATAAGATTTTTAGGTAAATGGATGAACCAGAAACGATCATACGGAGTGTAGTAACCCAGACCCATGAAGACAAACTTCACATGATCTCCCTTACTGGCGACTCCTAGCTCTAAATCTTCCCAGGCGAGTCTATATGCTGGATCAACTTCAGGAACCATAAAGGTAAATATAAACCATTTCCAGTGTAGTAGGGTGTGTGAGCATCAGAAAGGAGAATAGCAGGATACAAATAATTTAACAGGAGAAACAGAAAAAAGTAGAGGAGGATGAACTTAGGGAAGTGGATGGAGAAAACTACAAGTGGAAGAACATTGAATTAGCAGTAAATAAGCATGGGAAAGTCATAAGAAACCATATTATTAACTTCTCACCCAAAAAAATATGTTTGTGTGTGTGTGTGTGTGTGTGTGTATGTATGTGTGTGTATACAATTCTATATATGAATGCACATTTCCAAAACCAAAACCATCTAACAAACACAATAATACTAGACAAGTTACGCACCCTTTGGAGTTTTTGGTCAAGATTAGCTAATAGAACTTAAGATATTGAGGACCATTTCTATGGCACTTTGTTGTCCCCAAGAGGAAGATAATTCTAAATGGTGTATTTCACATTACAGGGTCCAAATGACTCTAAGATGGATCTGTTCTGAAAATTTCTGTCTGAGGACTAGTAATCATTGTACCAGAAGTGGCCCTGTAAACTTATAAAGAAGAAAATCAACCAACTGGCCTAATCAGCTATTATGTTTTAGAAGAAAAAAAAATTTATTCTCTTATCTTCATTTCTGAATAACAATCTGACTGACTAGGAGACTGGCACAAAAATTGAATGATATTACATTGCTTAATAAATGTAAAATAATTAACTTGTTATTGTGAAATCATTGATTGGATATTGTTTGTTTTGCCCCTCCCTTTTGAACTTTGATATTTACCAAACTTGATGATAGTAATACACTGAAATTCAGTGTCATACACAACACTGTTAGTGACGGGTTTCCCAGAAGCACAACCATATCTGAAGCTTTAAGCTTTAGAGCATGAGGTTCTCTAGCATGTTGCTATTATTCAACATCTTCCTAACTGCATGGCTTTCTACTGCTAAAGGGGGAGGTAAGTGAAAACAGATTTGAAACATGCATATTCTAGCCAAATATTTTTAAATCCTGTATGTATCTGCATCTGTATATGTATATATATATATGAATATTTTAAATTTATTTAAACATAATAAATAAATATTAATAGAAAATAAACTATATAATATTTTAAGTAAAAACAGAAAACATTGATTGTAAAAATCAATTTATTTTTGGAAATAGTTTCTGATAAGCAAAAAAAGAGAAAAATTGAATAAAATGAGGTTTTCTCTGTTGTGTAATCTGAACATTATGGATCATTTCTAGATTATAATTTGGAAAGAAAAAAGAAATACATCTTATAAAAGTGTAAATATTACATGTAACGATTAATTTTCAAAATGAAATTCCACGAAAATAAGTAGAGCCATTGAACAGGACAAAGTACCTGACAGACTCTAAATATATCTGAGTCCATGTGGGATTGATTTCATCTTCCCAAATTGGGTATGTTTTAACTTCATAATCATTAAAATGAGTAACTTTTCCTATTTCAAAGAAATTGCATTACATTGAATGAACATGTCTTTAATAAGAAGAAAGAATAATGTTATTTTGTAAGTGAGCCACCAGAATATTAACAATTCCCTCTTTTCTGATCTCTCCAATGTATGTAGAAAGTGGGAGATCATGTTACCACTGTGTTAACACTGTGTCTGAAGAGGATTTAACAACATTCCTCAGTGATTCATAAAGTCACCACATCCATGGATCAGCAAATAATGCCTTAAAGACAGAGTAGGATTCTAGGATTTAGTAACTGTCCCTGTCTGGTTTCATGAAGTCTGTATTTTGATATTTGTTGTTTGCTAATTTTTCCACATAATGTGGGTGATTTATGTAGCTCTTCAGTTCTCACATTGCTGTTGTTTTAGATACTCCCTTTCTCATTTTGTATCATTATTACAGAGATTTAAGCTCATTTTGTTATGCTATAACATTTCCCTTTGAATTGTCACAAGAAAGCTGTCTTCCAATGAGAGAAAAGTCCATCCTGGAAAATGACAGAAAATGTTCATTTTCAATTATTCTATACTTTTGTAATTTTGATATTATAATATAATTACATTGCTCTTATCCTTTCTTCTAAACTGTCCCATAGTCCCATCCTTGCTTTCTGACTCAGGCTATCTTTTTTTTTTCTCTAATTGTTATTGCATGTAATTATCTCTCTCTCTCTCTCTCTCTCTCTCTCTCTCTCTCTCTCTCTCTCTCATTCTCACTTTCTCTGTCTCTACTTCTATCTCTCTATATATTACCTGTATCTATATCTATGCTTATATCTATATCCTTAAATACTGTCAGCTTAGTATTGAATATGATTTGTAAATACAGTATGTCTGATATTCTGTACATTAGGGAGAACAATAGTCACACTTTTCCTTTTGAATGAATGAGTTTAAAAAATATGCAACAAGGAAAGAAAAATAAAACATTTGATGAGTAAGTGGTAGATAAATCGATGATAGACAGACAGACTGAAGAATTATAGACAGAAAACAAATGCAGAACATTAGTTCAGGTACTAATATGTCCAACTCTGATTTTCTAGGGTAACTAACTTAGGTCAGCTATCTGGACTTCCTCTCTGAAATTCTTCTTGTATGATGCTTCTAAATAATAGAATAGAGAGCGAGAGAAGATATCACATAATCAAACCAGATGCTATCAATTTCCAGCAGGAACTGACTAGAAAAGTTGAAACAATAAGCTTAAGATTCTAGTTGTGTTTTCCACCCTCACCTCCTGTAGATAAATTTGCTGTGACTCGTATTTCAGCTGTATTTTTTTTTCCTTTCCAGTAATCCAGATGGTGAACTCAGGTTAACAGCCTGAACATGCTTCCTCAGTTTCTGTGGAATATCTGTATACAAAGTTAATGATGTTACCTTTCTGTTATTTTTGTTTTTTATGTGGAAGCCTCATGCAATGGGACACAGCTCATCCTTTCAACCTCAGCTGGCTGCAATAAAATAGTTTGCCTCATTTATATCTTCAGGTTGTTATCAGCAGTAAATTTGATAATATTTTGTCATCTTTCTATCATCGATCTATCTATCTATCTATCTATCTATCTATCTATCATCTATCTATCTATTCATCTATCTATCTATCCATCTATCTATTCATCTTTCATCTATCTCTATATATCATCTATCTATTATAATCTATCATCTATTTCTATCTATCATCTATTTATCTATCTGTCATCTATCTTTCATCTATCTTTCTATCATCTCTATCATCTTGCAATTGTAAAAGAATCTTAATTCTTTTTTACTCTTTCATGGAAAAGAGATGCTTATCTTATGCAATATATGTTGATTACAAGTTTCCTCTTTCTTTATGCCTCCAAGTTCCTCCCTCCCTCCTCTCCCATCCAGACCCACTCCCTTTCTGTCCAAAATAGGGTAAGTTTCTAAGACAGAACAAGTAAACATTACTGTATAAAACATAAACTACCACATTGAATTTGGATAAGGGAGCTACAGAAGGAAATGAACCCAAGAGAACACACAAGAAGCAGAAAAGCATTTACTCATATACTTAGGAGTCCCTCAAAAATACTAAACTAACACTATAATATATACACAGAGGACATGGTATAGACCCATTCAGTGGCTATGCATGATGCTTCAGTCTCTAGAAGTTGCTATGACGTTTACTCTGTTGATTTGGAGAGCCTTGTTCTCCTGGGACCCTGTATCCTTTTGGGCTCTTTACATTCTTGCTACCTCTTCTGTCAGTTTTCCTGAATTCTGAGGGAAAGGGTTTGATGGATATACCCAATTTGGAGGCTAGTGTCCCAAGGTCTCCCTGTTGCACCAAACCTTTCTACCTGCCTCTTCTCTCTCTCTCTCCGTGTGTGTGTGTGTGTGTGTGTGTGTGTGTGTGTGTAATATGTGGCTGTTGGTATGTCTAATTGTTCACACCTGATGTACGAGGAAGCTACTCTTGTCATCACTGAATAAAGTGCTCATTGACCAGTATAGCAGAAAATAATTGGAAAAAAATTCATTCTTTTTCTCAAGAACAGTATTATTTGTTTCTACACTAGCTCTTTGGACTTTAGTCTCTGGTTCTCAATCACCCAACCAATATTGGGTATGGGATTCATCTCATGGTGTGGGCCTTATTTCAAATCAGATGTTGACTAGTTACACTAACAAGCTGAATGCCACCATTGCCCTGTCATATTTGACAGGCAGGATAGCATTTCTCATTAAAGGTTTGGGAACTGGGTTGGTGAATATGTTTCTGTTTTGGTAGCTTGAAGAATACTTCCCTCTACCGATATCCCTAGGACATCGGGATGAGAGATTTTTGAATCCACCAGCTTATCCTTTCCCTGTTCAATGAATTATGTCGGTGTTATCATGACAAATGGGAATTTGTCAGCTTGGAGAGAAGAAGCTATTGCCTTGGCAATAGCCTAGGGTTTTAAGAGATTTCTGTGACACGTATTTGTCCAATAACTTCATTAGATGTAAGCCAATCCTAGGACTGGAAGTTTTAAATGTTGACCAAAGGTGGCCAGTTGGCACTCCATGTTACCCATTACTTGGAAACTTCATTAGGATTACCTTCATATATTTAGAAAGATTATACTGCAATAAGTTTTCATACTCTCCCTTGAATGACCCTCAATTCTAGTTTTCTCTTCCTCTATTCTCTCCCCATAACCTCCTGTTTTTGTTGACTCTGCCACAAAATTCACCTGTATAACTTATTTTATTTCCCCTCCCAATGAGATTGATGTGTTCCCCTACTGCTTTCCTCTATGCTTAATTCCCATGGGCTTATGGATTACAGGATGATAATCATTTACTTTAAGACTAATGTTCACATATGAGTGAATACATAGCATATTTAGCTTTCAGGGTCTGCCAAAAATTATGTTAGAATTTAGATGGGAATTGCATTGAATCAGTATATTACCTTTGGTAGGATGCAAGTACTACCAATCCACGAGCATGAGAGTTTTTAATCAGTCATCTGCTATCTGATTCAATTTCTTTCTTAAAAAATTTAACAATTTTATCATATAAGCCTTTCACTTGCTTTATTAGAATTATCTCGATAGTTTACATTATTTAATGCTATTGTGAATGCTATTGTTTTCTTGACTTGTTCCTCAGTTCATTTATTATTTGCATATATGAAATTTGCTACTTTTCTGAATTAATTGTGTATACAGGTAAATTACTAAAAGTGTTTATCAGATATTCCCCAGTGCAATTTTTTGGATCACTTATGTATATGGTTATACAATCTAGGAAGAAAGATAGTATGCATTTTCTTCATTTGTCTTATCAATCTACTTAAGACTTCAAGTACTATATTGAATATATAGAGAAATCATGAACAGACTTATCTTGTTCCAGATTTTAGTGGAATTGCTGTCCCATGTAACTTGATGCTGACTATTGTTTTGTTGTAACTGAATTATGGTGATTTAGAGCCCTTTTGTCCCTAATCTCTCCAGAACTTTTATCTTGAAGGGATACTAGAATTTTGTCAACCACCTAATAAGATGATGATATGTTTTCTTTCTTTCAGTTTACTTTTATCGTTATTATAACTATTGATATATATGTTGAAACATTCTTGTCTCTCTAGAATTCAGCCTATTAAGGGAGGATGAACTTTTGGATGAGTTCTTGAATTTGGATTGTAAGTATTTTATTGAGTATATTTTAAAATGTATATTCATAAGGGAATTTGTTCTTTATTTCTCTTTATTTAATCTTTATGTGGTTTAAATGTTAGGATAACAGCTGTCAAATTAAATTAATTGAGCAAAGTTCCTTATGCTTTTATTTTCTAGAATAATATGAAGAGAGTATAGGTATTAACTCTTGCTTGAAAGAATGATAGAATTCTTCTTTAAAACCCTCTAATTTTGAGACAATTTTGATTGGGATATTTTAAATAATTGTTTCTATTTCCTTAGGGGTTATAAGTCTATTTAAATTGTTTGTCTGGTCATAATCTAAAATGAGGAAGTGGTACCTATTAAAAATTATCCATTTCTTTCAGATATTCCAGTTTAATGGAGTATAGGTTTTTAAAGTGGGACTTTATAATTCTCTGGAATTCCTTGATGTCTGGATTTTGGTCCTTTCATGTCTGATTTTGTTAATTTCGATATCCTCTCTATACCCTTTAGATGAATTGACATATGGTTTGTAAATCTTATTACATTTTTAAGAAGCAACTCTGTTTCATTGATTCTTTGTATTGTTTTCTTTGTATTTATTTTATTGATTTCAGTACTGAATAAGTGGTCAGAAAATTATGAATCACAAAATTGTTTATTTCTTGCCAGTATTTCTTTTTGTTTATTTCTTGCCAATTATTTTCCTTTTGGTGTGATTTCATCCTTTTGATCTAGAGCTTTCAGGTGTTTTGTTACATTTCTATATGATAACTCTCCAAGTATTTTTTAATTAGGCACTTCATGCTATAACCTTCCCTCTAAGCACCATGTTCATAGCATTTATATTTTCATTGTATTCTAGAAATTCTTTAAATGCTTCCTTAATTTCTATCTTGAACACTTTTTCATTCAGGAGAGAGTTGTTCTGTGTCCATGAGTTTGTAAGTTTTCTGTTGTTTCTGCTGTTGATATCAGTTTTAATCAATTATGTTCTCATAGGATGCGGGGTATTATTTCAAACTTCTTCTATCTTCTAAGAATTGTTTTGTGATGAAGTATGTGATCAATTTGAGATGAAGTTCTGTGAAGTACTGAGAAGAAGGTATATTCTTTTGTGTTTGGGTGAAATGTCTGTAGATACCTGTCAAGTTCATTTGAGTCATAACATCTGTTAGTTCTATTAATTCACTGTTTAGTATTTGTCTGAAAAACCTGTCTATTGATGAAAATGAAGTACTGAAGTCTCCCACTATCAATCTGCAAGAGTCTAATTTATTTAATCTTTAGTACTGTTTCCTTTACAAAGCTAGGTGCCCTTGCATCATCACTTGTGGTATAGGTGTTAAGAATTGAAAGATCATCTTGGTAGTACTAGTAGCATTCTCTCTCTCTCTCTCTCTCTCTCTCTCTCTCATGTTTGTGTGTTTGCCTGCTGAGAATATTTATCCATGTCATATTGATAAATATACTAGAACTTGTAAGAATACAATTGATAAATATAGAAGAGTAAGAATCATGCAACTGACATCTTTATTCAGAATGTGAACAATTAATACTCTGAGAACTAATGAACTTCCTATGAGTAATGTTCTAATGAATTCAATCTGCATAAAATCTCAATGCCCAGTTGGACCTCACAAACCATGTTTTCCCCCCATAGAGCCATATAAAAATAATCTAAATAAATAATTGAATAAAATCATAAACTGTAATGAATAGTATGAAGTAAAACCACTCCCCTTTTGAAGAACACAGAAACACAGTCCAACAATAAGTCTATATTTTGAAGAATAAGTTCATAGGATGCATGCTGTTCTCACAAGCACTCAGAATTCTCCTCACAGGAATCAATTCCTAGACAATGTGCTGTTATTTCATTGTTGTAGGTAACATCTTTAGGTTAGACTTTTCCTTCTTGTACCTTCTATTAGATTACATTTGTAGAAAGATACTGCTTAAGTTTGTTGTACCATGGAATGTCTTATTTTCTCCATCTATGCTGAAAGTATTGGTGGGTATAATAATACATCTGTGGCTTCATAGACTGCAGCACATCTTTCCAGGCCCTTCTTGCTTTAAGAGACTACATTTCCACCAAGATGTTAGGGATAATTGTAGTAGGACTGCTTTATATGTTACTGGGTCTTTTTCATTTTCAGCATTTAATATTCTTTCTTTGTATATTTAGTGTTTTCACTATTATGAGCCAAGGGGACTTTCTTTCCTCATACAATCTATCTGGTTTTCTGTATGGTTCTTGTGCTTTTACAGTCATGTCCTTCTTTAGGTTAATAAAATATTCTTCTATGATGTTGTTCAAAATAATTTCTGTACTTCTGGCCTGGGTCTCTTCTTCTTCCTATATTTCTATTATTCTTAGCTATGGTCCTCTCATAGTGTCCCAAATATTCTCTATGATTTTTGTTAGGAAATTTTAGACAACATGTTTTGACTGATATATATATTTCTTTTATTGTGTCTTCAACATCTGATATTCTCCCATTCATCTTTTAGGTTTTGTTAGTGAAATATGCCACAGGAGTTTGTGTTCAAATTCCAAGCGTTTTTTCATTTACATAATTCCCTAAGATTGGCTTTTCTTTATTAACTGTAATTCTATTTTTTAGGTCTTGAACACTTTTGTTCATTTTTTTCTCCCACTTTTATTTGTCTTCTCCTAGATTTCTTTATTTCCCTTTTAAGACTTCTATCTTGTTCATACAATTTTTCTTTATCATTTTCTTATGCTTCAACTATGTTAGATTAACAAGGTTCTTTTGTGGTATGTTTCCTGGGATCTAGTGAAAACATACAATTCTTGATGTTGTTGATCTTTTTTAATGCTGGCACTTAGGTTCTGGTATTTAAAAGATTAGAGTGTTGTGTGCTGATTTCTGTTTTTGTTTTTGTTTGTTGTAGTGTTTGCTTTGATTTGTCTTTGTTCCTTGGTTTCTGTTTCATCTCTTGATTTTAGAATAGAGTGATTGTGTGTTGCCTGTAGGAAATTTTCTATGGGGATTATAAGTGGGGCCACTAGGGGTTCCATTCATAATGTGTTTCTATGTGTATTGAGATGACGCCTAGGAATGAGAATACACTAAGTGTCTGAGTGGGGGATAAGAGGAAAGAACAAAGTATGCTCTACCAGGATGTATTTATGTAGTCTCAGATTAGGTGCAGACATTAAAGAGACATTACCTGAGAATGAGTGCTTTAGAGGCAGTGATAAAATTAATTGGATTACATCTGGAGAAACAGAAGGAAAAGTTAAAACCTATAGTTAGCTTACCTACTTCTCATGCAGGAGTGAAATTTGGGTTAGCAGGAAATGCCTTCTGGAGTTGTGTGGTGTAATAAAGCTATGAGTGGAGGGAGGAAGTTTAGGAGGGGGATCTACCAGAGGCAGAGTGGATTGATGCAACCACAAGCATTCTATTGCAAAGCTGCTGGTGTGACACTGGAATTATATGTGGAAAACATAGGAAGAAGTGAAGATTTTAGTCATCTTACCTACTTCTATGACAGGAGTACCCTGTGTGTTAGCAGGGAAGGCCTGTATGAGTTAGGGGTCTTCAAAAAGGCAGAAAGAATCAGTTAGGAAGTTAAGGGAGAAATATCTACTGGATTCACTGGTAATATGTGCTGGATGATGTAGAGGAAAGCTGCATCATTTATTCTGTAGGAATTATATTGGAGATCCAGGGATGAGAACGTGCAACTGAATTCAGAGGAGAGGAGAGAGTGGTGAGTAGTGAAGGTGTTCAGTTAGCTTATCCATTTTTCTGGCCTGGTTAGCTGATATATATCCAGGGCATGCCTCCTAATGTCAGAGGCTGAAAATAAGATGTGTTGAATGGGGGTAGTTGGATTAGATCTCTGTGATTCATTGTGGATGGGTCAGGAAAGAAAAGGAGATAAGAGCATGTTTTCTGCTATATAGCTAAAGATGAGACTGGGATACTGGATTTGGAGGAGGAGGAGAGGGAAGGGAAGTTTGTAGACAGCCACCCAATTCCGTTGTCCTTTTAACTAACTTAAGGTCTTCCTTGTACCCCCGGTTGAACTGAAAGTCATGTAGACTGCTTTGGCTAGAAGTCACTGATGATCCTTTTCTTTTGAGCACCAGGATGCTGTGATGTCAGACAAGTCACCATTCCAAACTTCAAACACGTTCAAGTATCTCTTCATAGAAGTAAACTCTTCAAATAGCACTATCAGGTGCACTAATTAGTACTTTTAGTACTTTTAGTACTTTTGCCTAGCACAGCAATGTTACCATAAGTACAAAAATTAGCAACCAAAAAAAATGTAGCCTATATCTGAAATAGATATCTGCATATTTATAAATGACAGATTCTGAATTCCTTCTCTGAAATTTTTGGGAAGTGTGAGTAGAAATATTAATCTGTCCTTACATTTTTATCAGAATTAAACACTGACTCTACTTTATCTCAGTATTCTCCAAGTTAGACTTAATATTCATTCAGACGTACTTGTCCATTCATAATTCTTTGTATCCTGTGTTTAAGTGTAGTAGATCATAGATGTTCAGAATTTGTTCAAGATTTTCTCGTTTATTCTCATCAAATACCTTATAGTTGTCTTTGCTGTGACAAGGCTATTTTGCATGTCTAGGGATTTAACCCACAAGAGCTTTGAGATAGTCCATCTTATTTCCTGGTTATCAGGATCTGTCAGAAGGGAGTTGTCATCCTTAAAAATGGAGACTGCTGGGACTTTCCCCTTCACACTTTTTCCTCTGCTGGATGTTGTCCTCCCTGAGCAAACTGCTTTCACAGTGTCAGTGTGTTCCAGCCCATTGTCTCTGCCACTGCTAACAGGGATTCATCATCCGCAATGTTTCTTTTTCACCTCTCTTTCAAGTGTGGTTTTTGATTTTGGAGTGAGACTATTAGTGAATATATCTATTTAGTCTTTTCATCTGTTTATTGTCTGTTTTACTGTTAGATACTAATATCACAAGTGAAGAGTTTTTCAAACATTTTTGGAATTATTATATAGACATAGGCATCTCCAAATGTTCTGTGAATTTTAATTCTATTATCGAGCCCAAGATACTCTGACAATAATTCTTCCTTGAACTACCCTTGGGTTAATTCTTTTGTATTTTTCTTTCTTTATATAACATAATATATATTGAGGAAAAAATATGTTTCAAAACAGACCACAATCTAAATGTACAAAGCACTCATGCTTTCATTTGAAATCCTTTAAATGTCTATGAATGAAATGAGTGGATGGAGATGGTCTAGCAAATAAGAACATTAGCTACTCTTACAGGGGACCTGGGCTTAGTTCCCGGCTTTCACATTCCAATTGTAAAGAATGTTTTCCCCCTAGAATCCTCTATATCTCCAGTCTGAAGATCCCACTGCCATCTTCAGAGATCTCAGGCCATTATGCTTGTAGTTGGTGTACAGACACAAATTCAGGAAAACATTGCTATACAGATTAAAAATAAATAAAAATTTTCACTAAAATGGATTTTCAGGTTGGCATTTGTTCTTGCTGAGAAAGACAGCAGTCAGGTTTACTTACATCAATATGTTCATAGACATCAATTGATAACATTGTTTGAAGGGAAAACAAGGGAGCATTCCCCCCCCCCGAATTAAAACTGCAAAGTGGTATTTTATTTCCTTGTTGTCATTATAGTTTTTTTCCTATGACTGTCATGACAAATTACCACAAAATTAGTTGGGTAAAGTAAAAATTTATCCCCTTGCACTATTGGAGACCCCAGATCCAAACATGGTATCACTGGGCTAAAAAGTATTGTCAGGGCTGGTTTCTTTATTTATTATATCAGGGACCCATTCACAGGGTTCTTCCTTGTTTCACAATGCTACTTGGTTTGGTAGCTGAGGACCATCTTCCTCAAACTTCATATTCAATGTTGAGTCATATTTCAATATTTACCTTTCAAACTCTCTATTGACTTCATTGACTTTCCTACTATCAAAGGAGAAACAGCAAAAAAAATTCCTTTCTCAAAATCATTAATTACAATTCTAAAGTTACTTTTACCTGCAAAGGATCATTACTTATTGTTGTTGCTTAAAATACAGCATCAGTTGTAGACACCATTGAACATATAAAAAATAATTAACAGCAAAAGAAGCAGGTTTGTTGTGTTTTTCTTATTTTTAACTGAAAATATTTTTTTCATGCATGTATGTTGAGTATAATTTTCCTTTTTTCACCTTAAACCAGATCCTGCTCACCTCCAGTGTTCATTGATTCTCTGTCTCTGTCTTTGTCTCTGTCTCTGTTTCTCTCTCTCTCTCTCTCTCTCTCTCTCTCTCTCTCACACACACACACACACACACACACACACACACTCATTCCCACTAGAAAACAAATAAAAAATAAACTGATCGTACATTTAAAACAATCTAAAATCAAAACGTGGAAAAGTAGAAAATCTTGAGAATGAAGATCAATAAAAACTGGAAGTTCTTGTGCTATGCTGTATAGAACAGTTGTAGAATTGAAATACATTGATCAGCAGTCTGAGTAGAGTGTATCACACTGCTCCAACAATCACTGCTGATCAGTCACAACCTTCTTCTGGAAAGTATAAGATGTTAAACAAGGCTCATTTAGGTACTGACCACCTCAGATGATCATGTATTATAAGGAATATTATGTTTGTTTCCAGAATTGCGTATAAAGGGGCTAAACTGATTCACCTGTGCCCACTGGAGAATGACGGTTAGGTAAAAGTCTGAGGACTGTGGTAATAATGATATTCCTACTTTGAAGCTGGCCTCGTTTTGCTACTTTTTGAAATGAAATCTCAGTGAGCTTATTTAATTTATTGATGTCCTATGAAAAGTATAATTCTCAAAATTGTTAAAGAACATCATTTATGGTAAGAAGAATTACGATTTTAAACCATATAACAATTGTATACAAAATTCTAGAAAATTTCTCCCATAAAACAAAATTAATGAGGAAGCTTAAGGATTATTGTTTGTTTCTAAATATATTTGTTGAAATAACTTTTAATAGCTAGCATGAGGTTTCCAGAAGCAGAATCATACTTCATGAAAAAGTGATATCATTCACATACTAATGTACAAATTTTAAATTAAAGCCACAGATAACAACATCTATGATAAAAGTAATCACATATTACATATAAACATAGTATAATGAACATTAGAGCACTTCAATAAAAAGGTACAAGATGAGCTCCATATGATTCAATACTCATACTTTATTTTAGTGTCAGTAAAAATTATAAATAAGAAGTTTTATATTAGATATTAACAAATATCTCTAATCATTTCTCTGGTGAGACATCAGCTATAACTCGATTTCATATTAAAACACATCCTCACTAACCAAAGTTGTCTTTTGTTTTATTTCCTTGCCCCATGTACCCACTGTTTTGTCATGTAGTTATTTTAATTAACTGAAAGTAATTTACTGAGAGTCTGTCACCGATCAAGAGTTCTATCTCTGATATGAGTGTTTTTCTGTTTGTGTTTCTTTTTTTAAAAATATATCAAGTAAAACTTTGTGATTTTCCACAATTCAAATATGGACGTCTATATTATGAAGAAAGACGGAGACCCGAATTCCCAGTACCTATAGGAAAGGAGTACAGCTATTACTGTGACAATGGGTTTTCAACACCTTCAGGGTCATACTGGGACTACCTTCGTTGCACAGTAAAAGGGTGGGAGCCTGAAGTCCCATGCCTTAGTAAGTCAATGTCTTTATATTTAACTATGTTTAATTCTTTCAAAGAGAAAGCACATACATAATTACAGTTAAGTTTCTCATGATAAAATGTGACCAACAAAAGAATTTGTGAGCCAAAAGCAGCTAGTTTCTGTCCTTTGTAAGCAGCCCTTCATGAAATGTACACACACAGTAGGGGCTATGGAAATACCTTTATCACTTGCATATTTTATTTATAAGAACTAAAGACAAATGCTAGTCTCTTAAACATTTGTTATTAATTTTATTTTTGCACCATACACATGATATTAAACAGTTGTAAAGATAACATTTACCTTAGTTTACTTTTAAACTAATGAAAGCTTTTGTACTGTTTTTCATTTATAATTTTTATGTTTCTTAGTGCAATGTGTTTTCCATTATGTGGAGAATGGACAATCTTCTTATTGGGAAAGAAAATATTTACAGGGTCAATCTGTAAAAGTCCTGTGTTACAATGGCTATCATCTTCCAAATGGTCAAGACATAATGACATGTACAGAGTCTGGCTGGTCCCCTCCTCCCAAATGCATTCCTATTAGTAAGTAACCAGCACTGAAATCACAAGATGCTCATGATTTTCCTTACCATTTGTATTAACTGTGGCGAATTGTCTCATGGTTTCCAGTGTGTATAAGTGAATACTGCAGATTCTTGACAACTATATAGCAAAGTAAACACTCCTAGTAATCATTAAGCTATAATACAAAAAAATTTAGCAAACTTTATTTTATAGTAGCATGCACTTTGAAATTACTTTGCCATTTTATTCAAAACTATTTTAAAATTGTAGTTTAAAATTAAACAAAATAGCTATACACATCAGTCATATATTCAAGAAATAACACTTTACAAAATGGCTAATTGACATTGAATTCTCTATGATATGCTACAGGGAAGATGACTCTTGAATAGTGTACTTGGCCCAGGTTTGATGTTCTTTTCCAATATTTGTGCCAATATATATTTATGCTGTATCAATTTCTTCTTGTTTGGTATTGTTGTAAATGTCTCAGTTTTGTCCATTTTAGTATTTTTAAAAAATATATCTATAAGAGGTTAAAACATCATAGTGTTGATATATATTCCTTTTAATACCATTTGGATATTTTAAATATAATCCTAGTTCAATTTGTAGTTTACTATTTTTCAAATGCAGGTTTTTTTTTCTAACTTATACTTTAGCAATTATTTTGCTGGAAAGTGAAGATTTCTAAAAAAATAATCCTTTAGTTACACATGTCCCAAATGTGACCCTGTTTTATTTTACTTCATATTGACATCTTTCTTTACATTAGACTTGATTGTCATTAACTCACATTTTCAGAACGATTTTCAATTATTATATAGTAAATGAGTATTTCTATGACTGTGATACATATTTAAAAGTCTAATCTGTTTTTGAATGCTCATCAATTGTCCTTTATTATACCATTTTGCCGATGAGAAAATTTTCTTACCTTCAGTATTTTTTAAATACTTGTTCTTTCTTTAATCTCCAAGAAATTTTATCTTCATTTATTTAAAATTTTTATTGGATTTTTTATTTATTTACAATACAAATGCCAACCCCTTTTCCCATTTCCCCTCCCTAGAACCCCATATCTAATCCGCCCTCCTCCTTTATGCTTTTATACCATTTTGATTACATGCATGTATTAAGGTCAGTTCTTGGTTGAGGGTCTAGCACCACAATATATGCAAATTGTCAAGGAACAAGCTAAACAATAAACACAAGTAGTCAAAGTAAAAGAAGCAAGGCATTAAACCCAATTACCTGAAGCCTCCCATGATCACTGTTTCTAAAGACTTATCTGGATGACCAAAGTATCTGAGCCTACTTCCTTGTCATAGCCCAAAGTCATTTTTGTGTCTGAAGCCTACTTCCTTGTTCTAGCCTAAGATTTAGATTCCTGCCTGAAATTACTCATTTGTTCTACCTTAATGTCAGATTCCTCCCTGAAGCCTACTTCCTGCCCTTGGCCAATGTCATATTCCTGCCAAGTGGCCAATTTCCTTTTCCTTGGCTCATGTCAGATTCTTACCAAGCAACCCCAAAGGCTCTCTGCCTCTCTGCCTTTCTTATTTCATTAACAAGACTGAGCCTGTCTTAGGTCTTTCTGAAAAGAATGCGTTCCTTACTGGTCATGGAAGATACATTATCAAAGGCACTTATGTCTTAGGTTGATAAGGTTCTGTGCAGAATCTTACCCGCCCTTGGCTTGCCAGCCTGTTAATTTAATCACTCTGTCTAGGAGTCCATTTTAAGGTTCAAGCCTTGTACTTGGCTGCCAACATGTTGATGTTGCTTAAGAAAAGTTTTATCACAATGGGGAGAAATAAACGTATTCCCAGGACAAAAAGGGCTAGTATGATCAACCTATATACGCCATTTTTTGAAGCTTGAACAAAATAGAAATACTGACCTCAGGTGATGGTGGTTGGTAATTTTATCTGCAGTATCTACCTCATCAATGTTCAGCAGAGCAGCATTCATGAAATTCATTAGTTCTCTATGTATCATTAAAACACCTCAAGACTTTTTAAAATTATGCCAAATATATTGCACATTTCCTTAAACTTCTTCCTAATTATAATGACTACCACTGCAAATTGTAGAACTAACATGAATCCAATAGTATTTGCCAACATTCAAGATGGATCCTTACCCATAAATTCTGAAGCTTCTTTCAGTAATTTGAATAGGACAAAGAGCATCAGTCCGGTCTTTCAGACGCCTATCTAAGTACTCTGATATTTTCAATACTTTAGTAACATAGTTTGCTAAATGATTAACAAAAGTAGATATCTTAACTTCTTGTGTCACAGCAATTGCAGAAGCAGTGGTGCTAGCAATTAATGTAATTAAAGCTGTTATGCCCCAATGATCAAGCCCACTATCTTCTTTCTTCTGCATAACACCTGACTCATTTCTTCCAATACTTCGATGCTACTTTTATAATACCAAAGATCTGTGATACTCAGGGCACTAAAACAAAAGCTGGTTGAGAGACCTCCATAACTGACATTCTGGATTTCAAAATACAAACACAATAAGAAGGTGTACATGCAATGCAATTTACATTAAATACTGTAGAAGAAACAAAAGTATTAACTTGACAATTTAAAGAACCTTAAGACATGTGCTAACCCCTGTCTGAAATCTAGATCCTACCCCAACTTTATCTCTTGATAACATGACATCATAGAGAACTGCAGCTAATTTCCATATATGTCTCTGAAAGTGTCCAGAACCAGACTTCCAATTAGAGACTGTTATTTCCAATATTGGATTGATCTCTATGCCAGTTCATGATTGAGTCTGAATAACTGGTCACAGTTAAGAACAATAGAAGAGGCATTATAACTTCTCCTTTTGATTCTTTCTTCCACAAGGTCTAAAAACAAGGTCAAAAATGCTTGTCCCATCAGGGGTATAGGTAAGCAATGGTGGATAGGAAACCTATGTCCAATACAGCTTCTCAGTCACCATTGTCAGGGCACTCAGCAAGCTCATGCTCAGCATCACATCATTCTTTGTCCTGGCATCAGCATGTCTCACCCATCACTCTGACAGCCACCATGTTCCTTCAGCATCCTCTAGAAAAAAACACAAACATGCCCTTTTCCCCATCTTTAATACTTGATATGGATCATACCTTATGCTAGTAATTGGAACCTTCTCTTTCACCTATGCATGTGTTTGTCTAGTTGTAGAGTACCAGAGACACTCAGCAGAAAATTCCTTGGCATTCAAATATTTTTAGAAAAATACTTTAAAATGAAAAATAAAAGAATATAATTTAAATAAATTTATGGTGTATGGGGTGTATCTCCCCCTTTTTTAATTTATGAAGATATTGTTTTAAAGTTTCATGAGCCCATTTCACAGTCTCCTGTCCTTGAAATTTATAAGGAATCCCATATTATTGGTAATGTTAAATTGCTGCTAATATGTCACAAATGTTCGACTGCTATAGCAAGTTCCATTATTTGTTTGTTTGTTTGTTTGTTCATTCTTTCTTTTTTATAATTGGGTGCTTTATATATCTACATTTCAAATATTATCCCCTTTCCTCATTCCCCACCCACCAAACCTCTTAACCCATCCTACCTCCTCCCATTTATTTCTATGAGGGTATGCCCCCACCCACCCTCCCACTCCCAACTGCCTTCTCTAAAATTTCACCTCACTGGGGAATCCAGCCTTCAAAGGACCAAGGCTGTCCTCTCCCACTGATGTCCTACAAGTCCATCCTCCTGTACAAAAACAGCTAGAAACATGGTTCCCTCCATGTGTGTTCCCAGGCTAGCTATTAAGACCCAGATAAGACCCAGGGAGCTCTGGTTTGTTGGCATTGTCACTCTCCCCATGGAGACAAAAAGCTCCTTCAACTCCTTCATTCTTCTCTCTAACTCCTCCACTAGGAAAACTTTGGTCAGTTTTATGGTTAGCTGTCAACATCTGCCTCTGTATCTGTCAGCTCTGGCAGTGCCTCTCAGGAGACAGGTATATAAGACTGTGTCAGCATGCACTTCCTGACATCTATAACAGTGTAACACATGGTGATTGAATTTAAGAGGGATTTCCAGGTGGGGAAGTCTCTGCATGGTCTCTCTTCCAATTTCTGTACCATACATTGTCTCATATTTGCTCCTGTGAGTATTTTCTTACTCCTTTTAAGAAAAACCAAAGCACCCAAACTTTGATCTTTCTTTTTCTTGGACTTCATGTGGTCTGTGAGTTATATATTGGGTACTGTGAGATTTTGGGCTAGTATCCACTTATCAATGAGTACATATCATGTGTGTTCTTTTGTGATTGGGTTACCTCACTCAGGGTGATATTTTCTAGTTCCATCCATTTGCCTAAGAATTTCTCAAATTCATTGTTTTTAATAGCTGAGTAATACTCCATTGTGTAAATGTACCACATTTTGAGTATCCATTCTTTGTATATTTCTTTTTGTTTTTACTTGGTTGATTTCAGCCCTGAGTTTGATTATTTTCTGCTGTCTACTCCTCTTTGGTATATTTGCTTCTTTTTGTTCTAGAGCTTTCAGGTGTGCTGTCAGCTGCTAAAGTGTGCTCTCTTCGGTTTGTTTTTGTAGGCACTTAGAGCTATGAGTTTTCCTCTTAACACTGCTTTCATTGTGTGCCACAAATTTTAGTATGATGTGTCCTCATTTTCATCAAATTCTAAAAATTCTTTAATTTCTTTATTTCTTCCCTGACCAAGTTATCATTGAGTAGAGCATTGCTCAGTTTCCATGTATATGTGGGCTTTCCATTGATTTTATCATTATTTAAGACCAGCCTGAAGCAGTGGTGATCTGATAGGATACATGGGATTATTCCAATCTTCTGGTTTCTGTTAAGGCCTGTTTTGTGACCAAGTATATGGTCAGTTTTTGAGAAGGTATCATGAGGTGCTGAGTATAAGATATATTTTTTTGTTTTTCAATGAAATGTTCTATAAACTGCTAAAACCATTTGGTTTATAACTTATCTTAGTTTTACTGTGTCTCTATTTAGTTTCTG